AGTGCTCCTCCCACTACAGAACCAGAATTTTCCATCTCATCATGCACCAGCGTATCCCTGGCTCTTCCCACACAGCCATGCTTGAAATTTTACCAGTTATCATCTGATGTTCAGATTTGGAATTATGTTGTAGAAATGCAAAACCTTCACAGCGAAAAGCCTGCATCTTCAGTTAACTACAGGCCTGGGGTTGTTCTGGCACAACCGTGAGTATGTGACATCCGAGCGAGTGACTACGAGTCTCCTGCTATCAGACATTCAGTTCTTCCCAGAAATACAAGCATGAATAAGTTATTTTAAAGGAATGAGACTCGTCAGTTCCAATGTTGCTTTCCCCGACTCATGTCTCCTGGGTGGCCTGATGCAGCAGGTTCACTTAAAGCCAGCTTTGTACACAGGACAGAGCTCTGCAAAAAAATGGAACAAGTGCCGTTTCCCCTCAGAGCACAGCCCCAGCTGGGAGGGGGCCCGAGACGCGCGATAGCGCCTGGTAACGCTCAGAAGGGAGGAGGCTTGCGTTCAACCCCCTGTCCCCACAGGGGCATTGGAAATCCCATTTCCCCTGCCTTCTCTGAGCACCAAACGTGCGCTATTCTCGTCTGCCTCTCCGGAGGAAGTTATTCCACTTTGTGGAACAGAAATTAAGATTCCCTGGGCTAGGGAGAGAGCGCGAGAGAGAAAAAAAAAAACAACAACCTTGTTTCTTGTCCTTCATCTAAGGCTGCTTATGTAATTTTACATGAAAGCTCTTCCTGAATCCTGCTGTCAGTGGTTAAATAAAATGTCCAGTTATAAAGATCACAATTTTTCTTGTCCATTTAAGGACAGAAAATGACAACAGACCCTTCTATTAGAATACCCGAATGACAGGGAGATACATAGGAAGCCATGTGTCCCAGAACGATTTATAATACTCACGCAATTGGAGGGATGTTACACCGAATCAGAATGAAGCTTTCCTTGCAGGCCTGCAGCCACAATTCATGTCTACAGTCTGTGTAGACCCTTTTCCTCTTATCTACGAGGAATGCAGAAATGAACACCAGAAGAGTAACAGCACGGAATTAAAAGCTACCAGACATCAGGCACGGTCACCTGAGTATTTGTTTAAAATTATCCCTCTATGCAGAATTTTTTTCTTTTTAAAGGGACTTTCCTGGTGTAAATCAATATTAATGCCAATTATTAATACACACCCTTAAACTTAAGAACATCTTCTAGGAAGGCAAGGGGTAAATCTTCTCATTTTTTCTGAGAAGTGATGAACTCTAGGACAGGATGGAAGTGCTCACGAGCTGCCCATGACAGCACCAATTTAGAACCAGTGAAGAAAAAATATTGCGCCCAAAGGACTGTAAAAAATTCAGTGATGGAGCAGATGAATCCTGCCTCTAAGCCTGAACTCGGATGGGTATTTGGGTGCTAGATCTCCCCTTTTTATTGCTGAAAACTTTGAAACAACTGTGAACAAAAAGACTGCAGTCCCGCACGTCACCTGACACAGACAGACTCTTGCCAGACCTGCCAGAACTGCTCCAGCAGGTCACTAACACCTCCGTGTGACGGTACCCACGGAGCCCCCCCCCCCCCCCCGCGC